CACAAGTTTTATGTAACTTACAGTTTACCCAGAACCCATACTACAACACAAGTTTTATGTAACTTACAGTTTACCCAGAACCCATACTACAACACAAGTTTTATGTAACTTACAGGTTACCAAGAACCCAAACTACAACACAAGCTTCATGTAACGTACAGGTTACCAAGAACCAATACTACAACACAAGCTTTATGTAACTTACAGGTTACCCAGAACCCATACTACAACACAAGTTTTATGTAACTTACAGGTTACCAAGAACCAATACTACAACACAAGCTTTATGTAACGTACAGGTTACCAAGAACCAATACTACAACACAAGTTTTATGTAACGTACAGGTTACCCAGAACCAATACTACAACACAAGCTTTATGTAACGTACAGGTTACTCAGAACCCATACTACAACACAAGCTTTATGTAATGTACAGGTTACCAAGAACCCAAACTACAACACAAGTTTATGTAACGTACAGGTTACCAAGAACCCAAACTACAACACAAGTTTATGTAACGTACAGGTTACCAAGAACCCATACTACAACACAAGTTTTATGTAACTTACAGGTTACCAAGAATCAAACAGATACAATATGAAAGTGGTCCCTGCAATACCAGACATAGGGTTTAATGGGTTGGTAGAAAACTGGTGACCCATTTCCCAGATTCAGGGTTTACCGAGTTTTGAAAGGAAGTGAGATTACTCTCTACAATACAAGGCTTTCGGGTTGGAAGAACTGTTAAAGTGAGGTGATAAAGGTTTTTAATTTAACCTACAACAAAAGACAGTTATTAAATGTTACTTCACCTGTTATCCCTTGCAAAGGAGGTTAAGGCATCCCTGGCTTCAATGGCAGCCTTCCTCCATCCTGCGATAATTGTTTGAGGATGGAGTTTCATGTTGATCAATTGTTCGGCCTCTTTTAAAAGTTCCGAGGCAAAGACTGCCACCGATGTTGTCCCGTCACCAACCTCGTCATCCTGAACCTTGGAAATGTCTGCAGTTACGGTGGAAGCATTAAAAGTCATTTAATCTGTGCAAATTTTTGTTTGTAAAAAAATATTTGTTTATCTCTTAATTTTATAAAATTGAATTAATAAGACTTATAAGAATCTTCTAAAACATTACTAATATTGATAGAAGAAAAAAACCATCCTGAAATAACAGACACGTGTACTGGTTCAGTTGTTAAGTCTACTTCAAATATCATGTATCTGTAATGTTCCAGTTTTATGTACAATGCAGTGTTATGTTCATTTAATCCTTACTAACTTCAGTGTTATGTTCATTTAATCCTTACTAACTTCAGTGTTATGTTCATTTAATCCTTACTAACTTAAGTGTTATGTTCATTTAATCCTTACTAACTTAAGTGTTATGTTCATTTAATCCTTACTAACTTAAGTGTTATGTTCATTTAATCCTTACTAACTTCAGTGTTATGTTCATTTAATCCTTACTAACTTCAGTGTTATGTTCATTTAATCCTTACTAACTTCAGTGTTATGTTCATTTAATCCTTACCAACTTCAGTGTTATGTTCATTTAATCCTTACTAACTTCAGTGTTATGTTCATTTAATCCTTACTAACTTCAGTGTTATGCTCATTTAATCCTTACTAATTTCAGTGTTATGTTCATTTAATCCTTACTAACTTCAGTGTTATGCCCATTATCTGAATGTGTGATTTTGTGAATTTACAAGTGTTTTGGCACAATTTCTACCACTATTTTTTTTTAAGTTAACTATTTGATGAGACATTTCAATAAACCCATTGATGAAATTTGAACACTATGCCCAATGGCTCACTGTTGAAATGACACAGCTTGTTGGCGATATTTATTTGAACGTTTGCTGGATATATACTTAGCTTGATATTTATATTAAGACTCACACAAACAAACAATTAGCTTTAAGTTAGACTACATTTTCTTACCAATAAGTATTTTTGCAGCTGGGTTATCCACACCAACCGACCTTAGAATTGTAGCTCCATCATTTGTACATTCTACCTTTCCTTCTTGTCTTCCTTCACATAACAGAATTTTATCCTACACACAAAAAATGAACATTATCAAAGTATTTAGAGAAACGAAACAAACTTCAATGTGATTCCAAATAAAAAGGGTTAGTGAAAATTTATAATTTAAACTGGAAAAGCTAAGCAGGTCTAGAGAGCGCTGATCTGACGCGACGTTCACTTCTTAAGGGACAGAAATGTGCATCTAATTAATAAAATATATGGAATTATTTGTAATTTAATGAAAGTAACACACTCCAAAAAAAAACCAACCACTCTGTCAGAAAAGTAAAACTGTCTACATTGTGGATTATTCTTATCCTGTCAAAATTTCTGCTTGTGTTCTCTTGTCCTACCATTATCACTATTAAACGAATCTACTCATTTTTTCCAGAGATCTTGTATGTTATATACGATAACATTCCATCCCTTGTAGAACTCATTTTCAATAATCAAATGATTTTCTTAAGAAGCCCATCACTGAACACAATCCTCCAACAAACGATGCCTAACCAACGGTATGATAACCTCTTTAGACTTGTATTCAATATTTGACCTACCACTGGTAACAGCACACTGCTTGGATGGCTTATGAACACCAATATCCTTATTATTCCTATACTTTAAATTTTGATAATCCACGTGCATTACCTTGCAGATTTTATTACCAAAACACACTAAATTCCTTTGTATACCAACAGCATCCTCCTCACAGCCAGCAATACCTTAATATCATCAGCAAGTTTAAGTAATTTATTGACTATTCCTTTATTTATGTCACTGAAGTAAATCAAAAAGAGCAAATGTCCTAATACAGAGCTCTAAGGTACCCCACCTGTGACATTAATACAGTTCGAATGAACATCAATGATAGCAACCGTTGGCTTTCTTCATTCCAGCTAGTTTTAAATTTAACAAGCCAGTTTATCACCAACACCCATTTTTCTAAACAAGCCTTTTATGTGGTACATTATCAAATGCTTACCAAAAATTAAGTTACACTAAATCCACACCTGTATCCTCATCAACATAAGCAGGAGCCTCTTCAAAGAATGTTAAAAGACAAGATTTTCCCCTTACACTCCTAAATAAAAAAAACTACATGTAATCGAGTGACTTACCATTCCTTTTGGTCCTAGAGTTGATTTTACCAAGTCTCCAATAGCTATAGCACCTATGAAAGACGACATTCGTGCATGCTCTGCCTTTTCTTCTTCTGCATCTCCTTTCAATATACGAACTGGATTCAGTGACAGTGCCTAATAAAAAAAGAAACATTAGCTTTAAATGCTTTATGCCAACTAAAGCTGACAACATGAACAATCACATTATTTAAACTTTCCAATAAAACTGAGACACCACCTGTGGAAATAGACATGATTTTTGAATAATTAGGACTTTTGATCCCTTACATTCACTACACACGTTCCACAGTTATCCCATGTAATGTCTTTTTTAATTTCTAGAATGTTATTTTCCTGTTTTAAGGATAAAAATGTTCCTTCTTCATAAATATCTTGATTTAAAAGCAAAGTTGTGGGTTACACTTTAATAATTTTTTTTTTTCATAGCTCCTCTTTCTCACAAGAAGATAAAGGTTTTGTTATATAAATGGAATATGAATAAAAATAAAACTTCCAAATATATGTTGGGTTGACAAACCTGAAGCAAAAATAGTTTGTATAAAATTAGAAAAAAAAGCTTGCTAATCATGAATGAAAAGGAAAAAATTTAAAATAAATTAATCAAATTCACAACAGGTCAGCATTTACATGCAGAACTAAGAAACCTTCAAATTATAAAACTAACAGTTAAATTTTAATTCCATCATTAACAATTAATAAATTACTTATTTTATCAAAGTCTTCTGAAAACATAATGGGTGTTTGGGTGGGTTCGGGAAAGCCCACTACTTCTTGCAGAAATAAATAACTTGAGTTTACCGGGGGTTGAAACAACCTGTCACCATACTTAGCAACAAGTATGTTGTCGGAGATCTTTTGTTGGCTATCATAGTATTTATTTGCTTTTAACTGAAAAGGGAATGTTAATTGGCATGTCATGACTTTTCATTCTTGTGCTTAAAATATAGTTTCTACACGACATCATTCACTCCAAGTTTCATCACTAAATTATTGTATTAATGAACTTAATACTGAACCATAATTGATAACTTAAAGGTCACCAGTTAGGTTACAATACAACGTATCAAAACGTTACAAATCTGCATTATTTGAGTCTTCAATCTGAATTGTTCAGTTCACACCTGTATTTTGAGACTAGCGCTTATCAGTTTTGGTGGGAATTGAAAAGGAGAAATGTTTCATGTGGATGAAAATTTCAATACATCTATCATTGTATCAACAATCTGCTTACTACATAACTTAATTTTATTCATACTGCTCATAAGTAATGAAAATAAGCCATACAGAAAAAAAATGTAATTTTCATCTCCAAACAATGGAGTGACAGTAAAAATAATCTCGAAACTGAAGAATAATTACAACAATATAACAAAATTTTCAGTTTTCTTCATAACAGTGAAATTTAAGTAAAATGTCTAGTTTAAAATGGTAATGCCGGTTTCAAACTAGTGATGCTTCTTGCCTTTTCTAAAAAAAATATGTTGATGAATCGATTTTAATTTTAACGAAGTAAGTTGTTAAACTAAAAACAGGCCTCGATGAAACAATACTTTAATATTCAAATTTAGCATTAATGTTATGACTCATATATTAGTCTATAGTGTTACCAAACTCGGCGTTTTCAAGTTACTAAGTAGGCCTAATATTAATACTGAGTCATCCAAGAATTTTGAAACTCAATGTACAATGATAATTAACGATATTATATGAATAGCTTTTCGCACATAAAGATTTCCTTAAAATATGCCTAATATACATAAAATTTAATTAGAAAAATATACAATAACTTACCATTCTTGAACTTAAAAGCCTTAATTCACCCAACTTGCTAATGTACGATGAGACACTACTAACTCACAAAAGTTCCTAAGCCTACACTTTTAGTGTTCCCACACCACGCAACTTTTCTCAAAAACTGGCATGACGGCTTGGCCCTCTGTTAAAATTTTTCAAAACATATTTTTTGTATTTGTATTCTAAAATATAATTTATATCTTAGACATGCTTAAAACATCTGAATGTCTGGCTGTTTTTTTTTTTTAATTCTAGATGGTAAGAGTTAACAAAAGGGATTTTATGAGATTTTTCAGAGTCCGCCTGTTCATCCGTCTTGTTTAAGGGTTAGTTTCTGTTTGATTTATTTTCAATTTAATATATGAAAAATATACATTTTTATATAATGTCTACCTAGCATTTGAATATTCTGGACCTGAAACGTATAACACTGAAAACGTACAGCACTGAAATATATATATATATATATATAGTTTTAAGCTATATTGTCAATGCTGTAATTTAATTGTTTGCTAAAGTTTCGAACAATGATGACGTAATAATTTAGAAGCTTCGTCTAACAACTGGAGACGGTATATTATGTCTATATATAGGAGATGAAGAAGGATATATGCTAAAAGCAGGTGAGGGTAAAGTTCCAGAAAGATGGAAGTTCAAAGATACCCTTACTGTAGGAAACGTCTCTACACCTCATGATGTGTAATAGACATTGAAGACGAGTGCATATTTGAAGCTGATTTCATGCAGAGATATGGATGTAAGGGTTGGCTAGCTTTACAGTCTATGACAAGGACATTTCTGTGTGTTACATAGCAACTACTACAACAAAGGTTGAATTTCCAGTGACAACAGGGAGGGTGGTCATTGTGCCATCAAGAAGTGAAATACTCACACCATGAGTTATTAGGCATAAATCTTCAACTAGTGATTCGGACGTAATGGTACCAAACATTCTAGCATGATCTAACGGATTGATGATTGGTTTGGTTTGTTTTAAATTTTTAGCAAAGTTACACGATAGCTATCTGCGCTAGTTGTCCCTAATTTAGCAGTAAAATACTAGAGGGAAGGCAGCTAGTCATCACCACCCACCGCCAACTCTTGGGCTACTCTTTTACCAACGAATAGTGAAATTGACCATCACATTATGACGCCTCAAGGCTGAAAGGACTAGCATGTTTGGTGGGACAGGGATTCGAACCCGCTACCCTCAGATTATAAGTCAAGCGTCCTAACCACCTGGCCCTCGATGATTGGAAAACCTCGTATGGCTCCGAGGAACAAAGATGTCGTACATGACTTTATCTAGGATCAACATTCAATAAATCGAAAAGTAAATATGACGTTACAACAGATAAGACTAGATTCCATCCAGGTGACATGGTATGGCTGTACAATTCATGCCACAAGACAAGATATAAAATTAAGAAGGTGTTGGAAAGGGTCTTATGCTGTACTGAAAAGAATCAGAGGGGTGCGGGTACCACATTTTTCATAATTTTGTGCTTTTATGCTCTAAAGTGCGCCTCTTTTAACAACATATGATTTTAATAAAATATTTTATTTCCTGCCTATCCTAGCTACAGGCCAATAATTTATAATATTATTTTTAAGTTTGATTTATCATCTGGCTGCATCGATATAAATGATGTATGGTGAAATTGTATGGCGGCCATCCAGGCGACCGCACCCCTTCCCAAAATCCGTACTGGTTTAAAGGATCCACAAGGACAGACATTTCAAGTGAAAGGTCATCCACTGTGATCATCTTTGGAAGTACACCAAGGAGAAAATGGCGAACTGAGTGATTTAAGGCAACAGATAGAGAAAAGTTTGTTTCTAGAATAACCTAATGATATTTTTGATAATTCAAAGTATATTCTGAATGATATTTGGAAACAATTGTTTGTTTTCTTTCAAAGTTTGCAGTGTATACTGGAGGGATTTACACATTGGGATAAAAGTTCAGAGAAACGACCTTTACACTACAGATGTAAATATATTTGTTTTTTATTACTACCAACGTTTCGCTTTTACGTTAATTTATCTAACGTATACTTCAATATCAAACAGTTTTTATGTATTAACCCTGAAGAAGCTGTAAAAGCGAAACATTGGTAGCAATAAAAAACAAAACAAATATATATATACATCTGGAGTGTAAAGGTTGGTTATCTAAACTTTTATCACAATATTTGAAAGACAGTTTTAGCTCGTGGTCTAAATTTTAATATTTCGAATAGACTAAGGTTTGATTACAAGTACAGCTTTAATTTCTTTTAATAATTACAACTGTGAATGTAAAAGATTTCTAAATTTCAGCTCAGATGAATTAACAGTTTTGAAGAATCTAAGTATAAAGATAGTATTATTATTTATAAATCCGACAAAGGAAATAATATACTAATTTTAAACAAAGATGACTATTTCAGAAATGCTGAAGACATTTTAAATAATTCAATTAAGTTCGCGAAGCTACACTATGACCCTACCAATACAAAAGAGGCCAATTTACTAAGGTATTTATTTAAACTGAGAAAGGGCAATATTCTAAATGAAAAACAATATTTGCATATTGGGTCAACAGAAAGTCATCCACGAGTTGTTTTTTTTTTTATAGTCTTCTTGAAAATTCTGTTGTAACGTATAGTTTCAAGCAGCGGAATTTATATCCATGCTTTGCGTGGTTTTCCGGTTGAATGTTTGAAGACTATCAACTCGCGCTGAAAGACAGATTTGAATTCTCTAGTGCAGTACAACAGCCTCCCAGTGGCACAGCGGTACTTCCGCGAACTTACAACACTAGAAATCGGGTTTCGATACCCGTGATGGGCAGAGCACAGATAGCCCATTGTGTAGCTTTGTGCTTAACTTTAAACAAACAACAAAATAGCAACAGAACAAAGAAAATTTGATAGCAGTGTTCATCGCACCAGTTTGGATGTTGAGCCGATGGATATCATCAGAAGAAGCTATACTGTTAAATGATTTTATTTTCAACAGTAACTCTGATCATTCTTAAATGAGTTTTTTTTTTCAAGTTAAGGAACTTCACCACATAAAAATCTCATTTTCTCCTTAATAGAAATATTTATGATCAAATTGATGGTATCGCTCTGGCCTCTAGACTAGCGCCCTCTTTGGTCAATATTTTTCTGTGTTATCATTTAGAACAAATAATTTAAGAATCGTTTACACTATTCTATCACCACGGGTACGATATATTTACTATCTTTAGAAACCCTGATTCAAGCTGCTCAATTCAAACATAACACTATAAAATTCAGGCTCAATTCCTTGAACAGAAAACATAAAATTCTCTGTTGAACGTCAACAAGATCATAAAGTTTCATTTCTTGACATTTTGATTTATAGCATTAATGGTCACTTTCAATGTGAAGTACAATATAAAATATTTATTGGTTTGTATTCTAATTTTGCAAGTTATACAAGAAATGTTTTTAATGAAAACCTGGTTAAAATTTTCTTCACCGTGCACGTATAATATCTAACATTTATGAAGTTTTGTATACATAATTCAAGCACACCAAATAATGATTATGTAAGAATGGTCTCCTATTTATGTTATTGACAAAATACTTCGTAACAGTTTGAATAAACGATATTTTAGAAAATTATTCATATTATATTTGGAGTTCTGAAATATCGTACTGTTAATAATTTTTTTTTACTCGGCTAAATATTATTAAATGTACCTTGTAGGGTTTATCTTCAAATGTAGCTTAACAAACTTAATGACATGGAACTTTTCTCACCATATTAAGAACGTTGTAAGGCCTAAGTTAGAAAGTAAGTAAGCAAGGCCTAAGTTAGAAATTAAGTGATAATAACAATACCAGAACACAAACATCTATACATATACACCAGATCGCGTTTGTTCATGAAATATACTGGGAATTTTCACTTTAAATTACACTTACAAATAGATTGTAGCCACTAATTTGTACCATGCGTAGCCCTGTTATTAACAGATGCATTGGAGGTAGCAAAACGGGGTTTTTGAACTCCATATACATATTTAAGTCGTGATATGAGAAACTACTGGCCAGATTGGGAAAGTTTTTCTATTGGACGGGATTCCCTCGTTATCACAAAGCTTCATCAGACCGTAAAATTTTCCAGTAATACAACGGTATGCCCTTAACATTTCCCCAACTTCGCCTCCATTCCAATAGTACTTTGTCCTCTGCTACGTTTATAGCACATAGAAGAACTAAAAATCCTGCAGTTCAGACGATGATAGCGTCGCCTATTTATTTTTGTATGATGCTAATTATGGAAAATAAATAGATAGGTGGCGCTGTATTTTAAAAAAGCACTTTTGTTCTACCGTACCATTACACACACATATATATATATATCATGTAATTTATATTTCCTTTATAAATATTATGTCAAAATAAATTAGCGAAATGTTTGAGAAATAACATGAACAAATTGACTACTCATATCAAATTTGAAAAGCTTTATTGAATTTACAGTTTTTTCCACTCATATAAAAATCCATAAAGAAGGAATACAAATTGATGTTTATTTTAAAACAACAACAACACTGTCGATCATAAATCCGTCACCAAAAACTGAATATTACTGGCAATAAACTATATCACAGACGTTTCCAAGCAAAGCACATTTTACTAGATGCTCTCAAATAAAAAGCTTTAAGTTAAACAATCGTTTTCATTAGTATAACTTACTACCTATCAAACTACGTAACAACACACTCTTTTTTAAACATAAACATTGTAATTCAAATGAATTGTATTAATTTAACAAACTATTAATAGATGGCGCTATAATATATATGCAATTAATAATTATAATAAAAAATAAACCAACCTACACGTATATCTGCTATATTTTTATGAGCAAAGTTTCAAAATTTAAACAAAATTATAAGAAAATGCTACTTCCAACAACATACTAGATAAAACTGTTACGTCATATAAATGCTTTATGGAAAATAAAAAAGCACATCTTACATATTTTATACACTGAGCGTTATTTTTATTTTGAAATAGAAACTAATGAACTACAATACGTGTAGAGATCTCACTTAAATGCTAACATTTCTAAAGCAAACACAGGAAACAGTTTTAAAACATCAACAAAAACGATGAAAAATAAAACATCTCTTATTCCCAATATTATTCTACGACAAAAAAAATATCATGTTTGGACTCTACTACAAAAAACAGACAAAAAATATACGTAAAGCACAGAAGGTACTCGGATAATTCAGTTTTATTCTATCGTAAAATATTCACAACACACCTGCAAGGTTTAACTTTGTGTGATATACATATTGAAATATCTCTTTTATAAAAATACAACATATTTTCTGTATTACATAAATAACCGTATCATAACCAAAGTTCAAGAATATTATGACAAAAATTGGTTGAAAGCTTATAATTTTAAAGTATTATCACTACACTTATTTTATGTCTCTACGGTTTAGTGCTGTTTTTGACATATCATAATTGTTCCTACAGCTGTAGTAGCTAAACTTATAAGTAATTATCTTGATAATTATGATAAGAATTATACGTAACGCGACATCTATAGGAAGGATTGTACTTTACATGTAATACACATATTTATTTATTTATCAACGCTTCGTTTAACTAAAACGTATATTTGTTGCTTCATTAGTAGACAATATATTTAAAAAACTGTAATCAATGCACCTTAGTTGTTAGAATAAAATCAAAGCTTAAAAAACACTTTAAAACGGATTTAAGATTACAGAAAAAATCTTTAACGGATTTGAAGTAAGCATTTGGAGTTGCCTTCAGCATGTGACGCTAGTGTCTCATGCATCAGACTAGGAGGACGTTTTGGGGGACGTAAGGAGAATGGGGAATTCTAAAAGTGGAAGTAGGAGTCTGTCTTCAGCTCGTGGTGTTAGACAAGCATCAGACTAGGAAGGCGTTTTGGAGGCGTAAGGAGAATGGCGAATTCCAAAACTGTAAGCAGGGGCTTGCTGGGAAGCAACACGAACCTATATAAAAATAAACAGAAAAAAGTTAAATGAGTTATTCAGTTTCCGATGTTTGATCAGAATACAAACTGAAGAAGTTTTCCTGATGTAAAATTTGTATTTTTTTCATATATTTTGTAAAGAACAGTTCACTCACGACCACAGGTGAAACTAAATCAAATAACGTGATTACTCAAAAACAAACACATTGTAGTGAAAAAAAAATTTTTTTTCAGAATATTCGCGAAACTTTACCTGAAACTTTATATTGATTTCGTAATAAACTGTTTTCAAAACAGTAAACCAAAATATCGTTAAATTATTTCTAATTATTAAAAAAAAAAAAAACGTTTCATGTCTAGAAGCTTCTTTAATTGGAATTTTGAAGATTTTAAAAAAATATCACGAAACAAGCTCTTTCTTTTTTACTGCTAGGCCTCGTCCGACCTTCCCTTTGGAAGTAGAAATCTAGGGTACAACATAAGGGCTATGTTTGATTACAAAATTATAACTTGCCGGATTCTGTTTGTTCAGCCAAACCTACATGAGTAGAAGGCAAACAACTTTCAAAATATGTTTAGAGAATAATAAAAAAAAAAGGGACTTTGATGTTTGATTCTGAAAGGTTTTTACCAAGTTGGAAAGGACAACTGTGACGGTGGCGTAACAACTGAAATAAAATATATTATTATCCCTTACGTCTCTCGACGGTGCATTGTTTTAAAAAATATCCTATACATTGACAAGTAAACTGTAAATGAAATAAGTTATAATGACTTGTCGGAATGACAGCCTAAATTGAAAACATTAAACCCCTATTTCATTAGGCCTAAAAAATCAAAATACTGAAAAAATGCTTCAGATAAAGCTTCAATATCTGATAAAATAAACAGTATTTTTGGTTTATAAATAAAGAATAAAGCAATAGTATCCAATAGCAGCAATCTAATGTTTATTTTATTTAAAAAGAACTAATCTCTATAACAGAATATTTGGTTTTGTATCGTAAAGAAAGAGCAAAGTCATAATATCTGAAAATCTGTCACTAACCTTCTCAGGTGAAAAAGCCCCAGGTCCAGGTGTCTAAAAAATAAAGAGTTTTCAAATCAAGAAACTTGGCTTAATTACTGCTATAATAATTATAATAGATAAAAGAACGCAAGGTATAACATTTTGTACATTATGACTTGTAGGGATCATTTAGAATAATCTATTAATATTCTGTTCTCTGTCTCAGATAACGTCTATGAATACTCTAGCTTCAGTCTGAAATAACGTTTATTAATATTCTGTTTCCTGTCTGAAATAACGTCTATTAATATTCTGTTTCCTGTCTGAACTAACGTTTATTAATATTCTGTTTCCTGTCTGAAATAACGTCTATAAATACTCTAGGCTTCAGTCTGAACTAACGTCTATTAATATTCTGTTTCCTGTCTGAAATAACGTCTATTAATATTCTGTTTCCTGTCTGAACTAACGTCTATTAATATTCTGTTTCCTGTCTGAAATAACGTTTATTAATATTCTGTTTCCTGTCTGAAATAACGTCTATGAATACTGTGATACTGG